CTCTTTCTCTTTGCCTTGCGACAGCGTTTCGGCGTTTCGAAGTTCTGGCGCACCGTTGCCACGACACTCCCCCACCCCCCCACACTCGACACGACACGACACGACACGCAACGACACGACACGACACGACCCGGCTCGACGCCTCCTAAAGAGGGCAATGCAAGGCCACACAACACAACACAACACAACACAACACGACAAAAGACAACACAACATGACAGTAGACAATGCGACGTCACTCGTCTCAGACTGAAAGTGGCTTTCCGTCCGTGAGGGACAGACCAATTGGAGGGCAAGTCGAGAGACAGACAGCAAACAGTCGCTTTCACCGCCTCGCTCTTTCTCTCTTTCTCTCTCCTTCTCTCTCTCTCTACCCCTCGGTGTCGCTAGCTCGCTTCTCCGAAGGGTCGATTTCAAGCATGACCGCGCCAATTCAGGCGGCAGGCATACACACACACACACACACACACACACACACAGTGCCAGAAGAATAGACATGTCGGAGAGTTGACCACGAGGCGACAGTCAAGTGAAATTGACCAATCAGAATTCTCCGTTTTACGCAGCCTCTTGAATGAGCTTTGACACAGCGCACTTATTGAACCAGCCAATCGGAATGCAGCTACCTGCTCCCCTCAACTTTTGTCTGTCTGTTGATCTGTCTGTATGTCTGTCTGTTTGATCACAGCGACAGTCGTGTCGCGGCGCGCCGACTCTCAGGATCCCAATCATTGTGGGAAAATTCAACTGCCAGTCCTTCATCACCTTAAACAAAATTGGGTGAATACATCTCATACTACTCATTTACTCTACTCAAATACGAAAAATTAGTAATGTAGGCGATTGTTATAGCAAATATACGTTTGCTTCAGCGACAATCCCACCAAAGAATGTGATATGGCAAAATGTCTGGCCTTCCTTGAAATTCACATCTACCCCGTGACCAAAGGGCACTCGTGGCAATGTGGTCGAGTGGTTGACGTGACATTCTGCAATGTCAGGGTTCCACTCCCGTCGGGGGTGTTGATAAAACCGAGGCGAGGTCGAAACTGCCGTCCACTTCAGCTTGGATGAGAAGAACTTTTGGGAAGACAAGACTGTGTGAAATTGAATGAAAACGTCTACTTTCCTCATATCATTGTGGGAAAATTAGACCACCAATTTTTCATCACATTAAACGAAATAACCTGAATCATCTCATACTACTGATTTACTGATAGTCTCGAAACTGTGCTCT